CCACTTAAGGGTTCAGGGGGATTACTTGGGATCAGGGGGATCAGGGCGGCACGTTCCACGTGACTGTCCCTTTTAGTCTTTTTGATCTCTTGTCCGATGTTACCGTGACAGTGTGTCATACATGCCGAACCTCCGAACTACTTAGTAAGACCATGGGAATGGTATTGCCTGTAATGGCTACATCTCCGGTGGCGTGGTATCTATCTACCTCGTGCATGTGAACTAATATCCCCTTAAGGACATATTTCCGGTGTCGTGTATCTCCTTCGTTGGATTCTTCCGGAGTCCGACCGTTGCTTCTAGGTGGGATGATATTACTGTATAAGTTAGGCTTACCTAATACCAGCGCTACTTGTCACATGTGTGGATATCACGTGATGTGTCATGTGACTAGACCTGGACCTTCGGGGCGTCTAGGACTGTTAGTACTTCGCGTACCGGTTCGTTCCTTTCTGAACAGCCTAGCGCTGATGTCAAATGATGTCTTGGTCACATGCAGAGGTGAAAACGTGAAAATCTGTGACAGCTCTCAGCAATCCACGATCTCTTTCGGACATTCTTGCGGTGTGTAGTATCTATGATGAGCAGCTGGTGTCATTTCTGCATGCTGCTTTACGTGTACATCCAAGGGACAGAGCCAGCGCTGATGATCTGTTGCAGCATGAATGGCTCGCTGACACCAAATGAGTGTCAGGATAGGCAGATAGCACGATGGCATGGATTGATCGTCACAATGTCGCGTTCGCTGCAGAAACATGTTCAAGTAATGCAGTCGGCAGCTACTCATCAGCGACCGTCATCGTTTCGCCACCAATTATTATCCTTATCTGAATGAATGATGGGCATGCGCTGGTTTCCTTAAGGTGCCATATTTTGCATTTAATAAGTGAGCGTACGAATTCGGGCCTGACAGAGGCTCGCCATCGGACTCTCACCATGTAACGGAGGAAGACACACGCCGTTGACGTCGTCTTCTTTATTCAGATTTTCGTCATGCAGGGACAAGCTGTCGTGTCGCTCCCGGAATGCAAATCGACAATATTTAAGGAATAAAAGCGATCGATATTCTAAGGAGTAACCTGAGCAAGACAGCGATATAGCCGCACAGCGCACAGGATGCTTCAATTTCATTTCTTTCTCTCGAATTGATTCAAATTTTACTGGCCAATCACCCTCATTCATGAGCCCATCAAGTCGATGACACACAGTACCCACAGTTGAGGGGAACGTCACGTTGCTTCGTGATCGTTTTGAGCGCCCCCTGCGCGATGAGCCCGCTCAGGAGGATGGCTGCCGTGCTGATACGTCCGCAGTCGGCCTGTTCGCCCCGAAAAATGATCTAGTCCATAGAGAATAAAAGTTTGTAGGAAGCTGGAATACGCACGTTCCGCCAACTGCAGCGTCGATGTCCTTGGGACCCGGGCGGTTCGACGACGAGTTTTTCCACTTCTTCGAGAGTGCTTCAGTCGTCTATGTCGAATTTTCTGGTTAGGAGACATAATTTATGAGTTCATGGGCAGGCGATCAGGATGCCTTCCTTGGACCGTCGTCCAGAAGCGTCGCGAGAGCGGAAAGCGCGAGTAGAAAGCCGTCTCGCGGGAGATCAGCGCTTCAGCGCTCAGCTGGTAGTACTATTGTAGACCATTTGGATTATCATCCTACCCATAATTCTTACCTAAAAGTCAAGCAATTTGCTGCAGGATGACTGCGAGTCTGCGATAGTATTGACTTGTAATTTCGATTCCTGATGGCGCCCCTCGAAAGCCATATTTGGCATGACGACTGCCTTTCCGGGCGACTCGGAGTTCACCGGGTGCATACGTCACATGGCGTTTCTCACATTTCGGTTGCAAGGAACGCCACAATCGTCAGCGCAATCCCAACCACCGTTTATCAGTTGCACGCTACGCTGAATGTCGCGCTTTGTAAAACCCAGTCGACATCTATACCATTATTGAAAGCTCTCCTGCTACATTGCATGCGTTTTATCGTTCCTTGACCTCGTTCTGCATGCTTTGAAGCTTTCGAGGGCATATTTGGCCAAAACATGACCGAAGTCAGGTTCGGAATCACGTAGAATGTGCAGCATCACAAAATCGAAATGTTTACGGAAATCAGTTTGTCAAGAAAACAAATGTTATGAGCCGATCTACGTGAGCTTTGTATTTGATCGCTATCAGTCCTCAGAACATGCTGTGAATGGATTCGTCGGATCAGTGCATTGGGAGGGTCGACATCAGCATGTCTATGCTCATTGAAGAGCCACGCTGGAAGCATCTGCCATGTCACGCTGTCTGTACTGTACGAATATTTATTTACTGAAGCTGCCATCAATGCATAGTGCCATCACGGCGGACATATCATAGATGTGGTACGTGTCGAAACATCAGCGATATAACGGCTGACAAACGCACACTCAGTACGATGTTGCTGAGAAATCACCGATGCGTCCTCTTTGGCATCTTTCCAATGTGCTTACGGTCCACTGCCCGATAGGATGTTTTATCACCCTGCGTCTGTGCGTCCGGACGGACGCGATGCTTACAGGCTTCAAATGATTGGACGAGAAGAAATCACACCCCAATTCTGTTTGAGCTTCCGGACCGCTTTTCTAGGCCCTGTGCGAGGTACTGCAACCACCGACACTCGGACGTCGCCACTCGCCGTTCCATGATACTGTACGTCTTACACATCCCATGAGAAAGTGGGTCCTTTCAGGTCCTGCATGCGCGTGGTCCACCGATGTAGAATGCCTATCACTGGAGCGATAAACGTTCTTATCAAGTACAACCGATAGGACGCATCACATGGGTTATCAAGTGGAGCTACTCCCGCCTTCCCTTCAAGCATGTATTCCTGCGGAGGAATCTATCACATAGAGTCTATTCGATAATTGATGATAGCCACCGATATGCTTTGCGGCTTCTTTGAATGACCCTAAGCGATCCCTCTTTCGGAGGCTGTATGCAGCCGCGGTACCGAGACTCATGCTAGTGCGGAAGTTCTTTGGAATATGCAGTTAAGCCGTATGCGCTGACAATTCCTTTCCAGTAGAAGCCCACAGAGGGAAATTACACGCCGTGTTGGCTGGACCAGTATGCACTACACACTGTTAAGGCATCGGCTCGTTGAACACAGCCGTGCGTATGGACCAGATTGCACGTTTGCTATACAGAAAGAAGAGAAGCAAGGACGCAATGTCAATTTCAACAATTTCAACTCAGCGTGCGTACGGATTGCCTGTGCGAGGTATCTCTATCAGCCTGGCAGTCAGAGCTCGGGCTTCTAGATAGCAGAGACTGTCCGCCGACTCCGAACATGCCGCGCTATATATGCAGCAACAGATTGGTTGTTTGTAGGAGCAAGCCTTGCTTCAGACTTTTCTCCCATTTCACTATAGGCGCAATTTTCAACATGCCGAGCACCGTGCTGCCTCCTGTTCCTCACAACGAAAGACTGCCCACAACGGCTGAAGATCGTATGTTTCATGCCTCTCACGTGTGTCAAGCAAACGTCTGCTTATTTATTTTGTAGTCGACTGGGCTGATATCCCCATCATCGACCTCGCAAATTTCGGCACCGATGACGGAAGAGCCGCGCTTGCTGTTCAGGTCCGCCACGCCATGTCAAATGAAGGGTTCTTCTACGTGATCAATCATGGCTTGACTCAAGCGCAGGTACGCCTTCCGTGCATTCCGCGCCCGCGAGACTAACGTTCAAAACCTGTAGAATGATCGCATATTCGATATCGCTGACGTGCCCTTCTCAGTTGTTCCAGAGGATGAGAAGAAAATTTACACCGGCGATTTCGAGAAGCTCGGAAAATACCTCGGCTACAAAGCCAGGCAGCACTGGGTATGCTGTATAGTTATCCTCTGTACTCAGTTATTGATCGTGTTTTATAGCATATTGATGGAGGTGTGCACGACCAACTCGAGCAATACAACAGTATGTCTTCCCTATGTCGGAGCTAGATGACATGTGGCTTACATACTTCATTATCAGTAGATCGTGATGTCACTAGAGACGAGCATCCGCGAGCGCTCCAGCCATTCCTCCCGGAACTCGATGCGTTCAACAAGTTCTGCCACCACAGCGTGCTTGAGCCGATTCTCAGGTATACACCGTTTATTTCCCTGTTTCACTTTATCTTGACTGCTGTGCAGGCTTTTGGCGCTTGGCCTAGAGCTTGCCGAAGACACATTCGTAAACATCCACGGTTTTGATGCGAACAACGAGACATCAGGTACGTCAAGCGTCCACTCGACGAGCGGAAGTGTTCGTTGAGCAGCCATCACTAGTCCGTTTCATTAAATAGTAAAGACAAGCTTGGTTTATGCCATGTCCTTTCTGTTACCGAATCTTCTTCTCGCAGCTACCCCCGGTCGCAGGAAGAAGAAAAGATCACGAGAAACGTCTGGCTTAAGGGCCACACTGGTATGTCCATCGGTAGGTATCGTTTCACCTACGCTGACATCTGCGCACGTAAAGATACGGGAAGTGTCTCCATCTTGTGGAGTCAGCCCATCTCCGCGCTGCAGATGCTATCCCCCGACGGAAAGTGGCGCTGGGTCAAGCACATCGATAACGCCGTGGTAAGCTCCCGCTTATCGCAATGGCTTCTCTGAATGTACATTCACAAACCTTAGGTCGTCAACGCCGGCGATGTGTTAGAATTTTTGTCTGGAGGGTTCTACAAGGCGACCATCCATCGTGTGGTGCAGCCTCCCGTTGACCAGCGCGGCTATCCTCGCGTTGGCGTGTTCTACTTCGCGAAGACGAACGACGACGTGAAGCTCGTTCCGTACACCGAGAGTCCTGTCCTGCAGGAGTACGGCATCAAGCGGCGCATCGAGGATGCAGATGCGCCGACGATGCTCCAGTGGCGCAGTGGCAGGGCGAGGGCGTACGGAATCAGCAAGCTCGAGAAGAAAGAGAACAACATCGAGGAAGAGGTCATCGCCGGTGTCGTGGTGAGGCATTACAATTGAGCATCGTACTCACATTGGTGCGCTATGCGCAATGTATCTCGATTGCATGAAAAACAAGGGAAGATGGTGTAATATCTATGAATACAGTAGCTGTACAAACAACATGTGTCATCGCACGATTAGTTCAATATAGATCCATCAAACAGACTTCTCTTGCCTATCCTTACACTTCCTTGGAAAGGCAGCCCCGTAAGCTCCATCTCCCCGTCCCGCCCGTTCTCGAACGGCAAACCCTGGACGTGAACAGCGACAGCAGCAACTCCCTGCACGCCGGCAAGGGCTCCGCCTGTGCCGAAAACGACCTGAGGCATCGATACGGGACTCAGCATATGGCGCGCACTCGTGTGCGCCAAGTTCCTCACCTTCGAGACAAAATTACTGAACTCGCGCTCCCGTCCAGGCAGCACCTCCAAGGGCACATCGACGAGCTTCGCTGACACGGCGACAGCAGACCCTTCGCCCTCTTCACTATCGGCAGGTTCGCTCAACGCAGGAAGCCAGTCCTCCGGTCTTATATGCGCGAACGCACGCTCTGGAAGCGGATTTGGAAGCGGCGGAGTAGGTGGGACGTCCGGGTCCCTATCGTCTACTGGATAGTTCAGCACACGGAAAGACGGCTCAGACGCATTCGCAGCTTGGGGCCACCCGCCTTCAGGCGCCTCGCCGTCGTACACGAGGACGTCTGGGAAGACGCGGGCGACGTCCACACCAACCTCAATCCCACGTGGGAGGACGACGCGGGCGAACACCGTCCCGCTTGCAAGCATGCCCGATCCAACGGGCTTGATCTTCATATCCTTGATTGTAACATTGCGGAGGATGTGCGGCTTCGGGCGTGGCGCAGGGAATATCGTGCCGACACTGAGACCTGGGATTAGCGGCGTCTCGAGGATGATTTCCGAGTCGCGCGCAGAGACATAATTGCCGAGGAAGTTAGAGACCATTGTGGAGGCATTGCGCGGGAGCGGTAGGACCTTGCCTGAGATGGAGATCGTGATGTTAGGGTGTGTAAGCGTGAAGGGTGCAGTGTAAACGGTGGCGATCTCGACGGGTGAAGGTTCAGGTTCGGTGGCGTTGAAAGGCGGAAGAGACACGATGAACGGCAGAGACGGCGCGAAAAACTGAAATAGATCAGGAATGGGGTTTATGCACGTCGCTTGAGCATGAATTGAGAGTGTGTCATTCGCGGAGGTAATGACGAACGACTTGAGAGTGACGAGGTCGGAAAAGCCAGGCAGGGGATTGCTGCCTCCTGGTGGTGGGAGTCCTGGTAGGTTCGGAACTATGGCGGGTCACTTTCGTTTGCGCAGCATGGAGGAAATGAGAGAAGACACACTGGGTATGTGTACGGAAGTATGGATGTCTGAGTGGACGACGCGGAGGCGGCACCGCCAATCGTGCGCGTCGAGCCCGCCTCCTTGCACGCTGGCTTGACCCACGGATGCACCCACTCGGATAACACCATCTCGCCAACTGTCGCGCACAAAGCGCAGAAGGACCTTTGCGTCTCGTGTCGGGCGGATAAGTACAGGGACTGCGACAGGCGTCAGCCATGTGTTGTCGGGTGGCGGGTTGGCAGTGAGTGGAACTTCCAGTGGCGGCAAATCAAGGGTTGTAATTACATCGGTAGGATATCCCTCGCGAGTGATCTCAATCAACGAGAGATTCACGGTGACCCTGTCCAGGCGATGGATGCCCCAGCGGCCGAATGACTTCCACGCGTCCTGGACGAAGTTGTCTTCATCAGCGGTATTGACACCCGCAACCTCTCCGGCATCCAGCCCAAGTCTTCCATGCACCATGAGCCAGATGCCGCCATCACCGGTTGTGTTGAGGACATCCACGCGGTCGGGGCCCCGAAGTACCAAGGCGTGCTGCAAAATCTCATCAGGAGATGCACTCACTGCTCGTGCGCGGTAGGAGTATAGGACCACGGCAGCCAGGATCAAGACAAACACGCAGAGGGACACCGAGATGAGGAACACAGTAAGGACTTTATGAAAGAGTCGTCGAATGGGAGGCGCATGTTGTGGGATCGTGCGAGCAGTATACGAGCTGCTGGAAGATCCCAGCAAAGGAGTGCCCTCGGTAGGCTCTGGGGATCGTGCTCTTGCCTTGCCTTTGTCGATGTGGTGCTCGACATTGAGCGAATCCGAGCTCATCGTCGGAAACAACGATGATGGTTAAGTTCAGGTAATGATTACCGTATGTGGAGAGCAAACGTGTGGCCGACATCAACTGTGGCAGGAGCCTCATTAAAGGCTGCTACTTATCTCTCCTTACGCGGTCCGCATACACTATTCGCTCAGTTCACAATTTACAATTGGAATGGCTCTTTCTACGTATTTGATCGTGTCTCGTTATTATTATTAGAGACGAACCGTGAAAAAAAAGGGCCCACAGCCTCGATTCTCGGATCTGTTCTTCTCCAGAGTTGCGTCACTTTGCTTGAGCCTTCGCACACCAGAGTCGGTGAACTTTGCTGACCTTCAGCAAGTATCTGTATCAATATTGCTTTCCGGATGAACCACTGCGTGTCGATAGCTTAATAGGGAAATCTTCCAACGCTAAAGGGAGTCCTTTTGACGATACGCAAGTCCTGCCGGCGCGTGGCCTCCAAAGGGCCAACACGGTATGATCGTTTCCTCCGCCATGTTTATTGCCATTCGGATTTGAAATTAATTATCCTAGTCTACGTCAATATCTTTCTGGACATGTGGGCTACCGCCGCATGCCCTCACGTATGCCACTTTTCAAGACCTTTTTAGGCTGAATGCACGGCGTCACGTCGAAGACCGTTCCGCTGAATAACATGAAACTTCTACTATCCTGACTGGGAGCATCGGAGCATATGGGTGGGTAGCAATAGCCTCGTACATCCCAGTCCGTCGGTACGTATGGCAGTCGCGCTCACACTTTCACAGAACCGCCGCCGGGCCAGAGTGGCCGACCATGAGACTACAGAATGGAAGTTACTGATGCCAATTCACCTGGTTCAAGTAAATTAGATCATCATCGAACTAATGCGATGAGATATCATAGGTAGACATCAATGGATAGATTTGGATGAATTCAATCGGAGGCTGTGGCGCGGCGCGCATGAAGCACTGCGCTATAGATCCCGAAGAATATGGTTCGCGAATACAGCCGATGGGGAGCATCATGCATAGCCCGGTGCACAGCATCCTATGCATCCGCAAAGAGTATCTATCGTGTTAGACAGCACTGGTCAAGCGTTTCACCGCGGTGCACTATTTGTGGTTGGCACGCCAAGCGTGTAACCAAGCATATCCCGCGCTTAACCTTCCAAGAATGACTACCAATTATGTATACATCGCATGATGGTTGGATCTTTGCATACGTCAAGAGCGCACAGACTCAATACTATCACCGATGGCCATGATATGAATGCATCTATAGATGGTATTGAATTTTGTCTCATACCTCTCAGTTAGAGATCATCATTCGCAGGAACAAATGCCATTGCGCCCATTGGACAGTTGGAATCTTGATGCAGGTGGGTGATCGTGGGTACATCTCCACCGTAATGCTATATAAGTTAGCGGCAAGGAGCTGGGCAAGCGTGTCCCATGCTTCTATCTCAACCATGGTCAATTTCGCTAAGAGTCTCACATACATTTTCATCGGAGTGCTGCTTTCCGTATTGTGCACCTGCCACTGCATACCCCAACTTAGCGATGTTTATCGGGTACCACACAGGCTACATGGTTTCACAATTGCTCAAAGTCTATATTACTTTTATCACTACAGAAATGATCGCCGCCATTTGGTGCTCATGGTAGGCCCTTCCATTCTACCTGAATTCATCTTTTGAGGAAACATGCTGCAGGTGACGATCCTATGGTTTGTCTATGCAAGTCGAGCTCGATAGAGTGATCTGACTTGTTTCACATTCCAGGATCCTTGATACATCGAAGACAGCAATGGACGTCCAGGTGCGACATAATGGTTTCGATGGTGCTAGGCTGAACTCAAATGTACCTAGATCTTATACGTGTTCATGCTGCGGCATGGCCACAAGTTGTCAGAGATGCAAACGCCGACGTAAACTCTCAAATTGTTTCAGTGGAGTTATCGACACTAACCGGTTTGCTGCCAGGACTTACACGGTACGGCGAACTGTTAGAAATCCTATTCTTCACGAATGAATATTCTATTTTAGGCTGAAAAGGTCGTCTCTGTGAGTGCTGCGGGATATCATGACTCACAGCTCATTGCAGATAGGCCACATCCACTTTGATTTGTCAAGGGTCCGTGATGCCACGTTTACTATCATCACTTGTGGTGACACTACCTACAGGTTCTTGATACATACGGTCATAAGCCGTGAGTCTTTATTCAGAGGACATTCACTGTGCGTCAGCATTTGATATCTCAGAACAGTCATGCACGGGTATCAACAAGTTACTCGCATGATATTTCTCTCTCTCTGTGTAAGACACTCTCCCCTCATATGCGTTTGACTCACTGATAATTACCGTAGGTTGTTCTGTGTATCACCTCATTCGGTAATCTGAGAACTTCTCATCAGCTTCACAATATGAGTAATCCTTATTTCTTCGTCATACAGCCGGAAGTTTGTGTCAGTCCAGGCGAGTTCTAGCACATTTCAATGCATCACTAATTCAGTCTTTTAGTCTTCTCGTTTGCTGCGTGCGTTATAGGATTTTTACCTTTGATGTTATATTTGCATCTCATGTTCATGGCGGTCTCTGCAGGTATAATAGTGCAAATACCATGGCCACCATTGGTTCACTGGCCGGAGAAGTAGAACCGTTCATAGTGCCAGCTTCGTGTTCTGACATTTTATTCCGCACTAGATCGGAGGGCTGTTGCGTGGATTCCCACAACTGATTGCCGATTTACAAATTTCCACCTGCCTTTTCTACTTGCTGCGCAAGACAAGAGGTCAATCGGGATCCCCGGCGTCAGTACTGCGGTATTGTGCTGTCGAAAGCTGACGTTGATTTCATGTCGCGGTAGAACCCAAAAGGTTGTCAACAAAGTCTCTATCTATACGATCAATCGTGGTGTTTTAATCTGGTAAGCTTGAAAGAAATCTATGATTCGGCTCAGGCCCGCCGACAATAGCTTCTCTCACTATTGCAGTGCTCTGCAAGCATTGCAGATCGGCCTGGTCAGTTAAAATTCCCCATTGCCTAGGGATTGATAATAATAGGAACATCTATAGTTCCTGGGAGATCTCAAGGACGGAACTATTCGTTCGCTTCTCGTTAGTCTTCCGGCTAGCACAAGTGAGTCCAGACCTCACCATGCATCTCAAAATGCGTTAATTGATGCTTTAGCATACCTGAACACGATATTGACGATGTACCTTTATGCACTGCAACGCCAGCGCTCTGCAGACTCACATTTTACCAGGTTGAATGCTCGCCACCATGTCAGTAAGGTATACAATCAAAGAGAATTTCGCTCGATGCCCCTTGGCGCCATGCTCACTCAGATGCGGTCACCGTGCGTGCTATTTCCAACCGTTTGTATCATATTGATTATAATGGTCGTAGGAGCCATCAAGCTGAGCAAGCTCAGGCGGACAATGATCAACAACAACAGAAGATGGTTCCGTAAGTCAGCGGCGCGCGTATTTGTAATGGAGGTCCACAGACAATGCTCCCACTGAAAAGTCGAGAAAAGGCACTCAGGAGATTTTATATCAGACTAGCCGGTCGTACTTTCTATAGCATTCAAATCTTGCCTAAGCGATTCGGCGAACATGAAGATTTGTGTGTACAAAACTTGGCGGGTCACTTCACTGATATGCTTCGAGACGGGAACAAGTTCGTGTTTCACGACGTTTGTCGCTACTGATGCAGGACAATATAACTATACTTCTGCGATTCTGGGTAAATAATCGAGATGACACATTATCTGACCTGGAGTACAGATTCGTACGATATAGAAAGGTCAGCTCTATTTTTCCGTCTGAGGCTTTACAGACCCTGCTGACAGGTCCAACGTAGTATAAAGTGGTCTATTCAACGTGGCACCCAAGTTCAGAGCATGGCGTATCATTGTGAAGATCCACTTCATATTAAAGAAATATACCTCATGCTCCGCAAGACGTTCTCTCATTTTCAGAAGCCGTGAACAATGTGAGCTATTACTGCTTCAAATTTGTCGTGCTGCTTACGCAGCTTAGTGATATACAGGAAGTGCAAACATCGCATACATTGGGCCCGAATGTTCGCCGTGACCCGTATCGTGTTCCAATTATTCGGTTGCAGCTGAGTCGAAGCCTTCCAAAGGCGTTTCCTGAAATGCGAGACGAGCCCTTGGCAGTTTTCGGTGACGGCGAAAGGCTGCTACCTTCCTCTTCTTACGCAGTTCCCATACACTATCCACTCCGTTCGAAATCACAGTGGGAACGTTATTATTCGAGGTCAACAGTGGGAAAGGGAAAGTCCCGATTTGATTAACTGCTGTTCTTCTCCAGCGTTGTATTTTGCTTGAGTCGCACACCATCAATGAATTTTGCTGACCTTCGGCGGGTGTCTGTATCAATGCTTTCCAGATGAGCCACTACGTATGGATGGCTTATAACGAAAACCCAGGCAATCGTTCCGACGCGGCTTTTTGCGCATAAATTGGCGAGTCCTGGAAGAAAAAAGCCGTCCTTTTGCTCATGTTCGACTTGATCATGGGTTTTAGCGTGTCCTTACGGCCATACAAAACAGGAAAGACAATTATCGCTGGACTGAGGCTGTCACGTACTGTATAAGAGGGTCGGTATCGGGACATATTTTGCTTCGCATTTTGCTAATATGTACGATCAATCACGCTATCGTGTTATGTTGCTGAACCTCGTGGTTGCCGTTGTGGATAAGAAATGCGACACATATCATATTGATCCATCTACCTGTCAGGTGCTCCCGCGGAGTGTCATTTGGTGCGTGAGTGAATATTCAGCGAGAGTGTCCGCACGCTTACCGTTCTCGAACCAGATTTGTTCCGTGACCTGTGCGCCAGGCGAATCGCCTTTGCTTTCAGAAACTGTCGTGTAGTATGATTACCGATGCGGCGTTCCCGCCAGCTGTGCTTGTTGATCGTGCTTGATTCTGGACGCGAAGAACGTCCGGTTGCGTCTGAATGCTTCGGTAAACTGAATAGGTTAAGTCATTTTGTTTTGGTACTGCTATACTACACATTTGAGTAAACCGTATATCATTTCATAAGTTCAGGTTGTAGTGGGCGACTCCGAGTCGAAGGGTGGAGCAGATCTGCACTGTGCAGGGCCGATCTCTGAGCACTGGACCAGGAGCCCAAATTAACGTCGTTTATGGTGATTCAGTTCTCAGATAATAATCCAGTTCCGCTGGCGAGCGCTTAAACGTATGGTTGACCTCGGACGGCGGCACAAAGGCGGGCCGCTGCAACTTCAGCACCTTTCTCTTTGCTAACTAAGACATCGCTCTACAATTCACGCGTCTCCTTTTTATAACCTGCGGGAGCCCTTCATGGGAACTTTTGGATCACAATAAATCTAGGAAATCGTGGTGCGGCAAGGGTGTTAGCCAGCCGGCACCTTCCCGTCTCATGGGCGCAATGGGAGTGAGAGGCTGGTGAGGCCACAAACGACTGGGG